AGCATCCTTTCTCCACATGAATGAGTGGGACTTGATTTGTAACATCTTCTCTGTTGGCACTCCCTGTCCACCTGCTGTTATAAATTCTCAGTTCAGTGATTGTTTCCAGACAGACAAGGCAAGGCTCACCCTCTTAGATTTCACCCGCCAGGTCTAGGTGTCCCATTTCATAGCCACATGGACTCTGGTCATTCGTAGAACCCAACCAGCCATATGAGTTTCTGTTGTCATTATTTCCTTGGTTCTTCCTTATCCCATTTCCCGATCATCTGGGTTTCTCTCTCTCTCTGTCTCCCTCTCTCTCTCTATCATCCCTTTCCTTCAGCTGTGAGATGTTCCTAGAAGGTTCCATCAACTACAACTTTTTTTTTTTTTTTCAACGTTTATTTATTTTTGGGACAGAGAGAGACAGAGCATGAACGGGGGAGGGGCAGAGAGAGAGGGAGACACAGAATCGGAAACAGGCTCCAGGCTCTGAGCCATCAGCCCAGAGCCTGACGCGGGGCTCGAACTCGGGGACCACGAGATCGTGACCTGGCTGAAGTCGGACGCTTAACCGACTGCACCACCCAGGCGCCCCAACTACAACTTTTTAAGTTGCTAGTGATCAAAACCTCCACGTGAAGTAGCTAAGAAAATTCTGGAGTGGCTTGATTCGGGAGCTCTAATGATGTCAGAGGACATGGGCTTTTCTCCATCTGTAAACTGTCTTTTCCCCATATTGACCCTATTCTTTTTTTTTTTTTAATTTTTTTAATGTTTATTTATTTTAGAGACAGAGCACAAGCAGGGGGGTGCAGAGAGAGACAGAGAGACAGAATTTGAAGCAGGCTGCAAGCTCTGAGCTGTCAGCACAGAGCCCGATATGGGGCTCAAACTTACAGACTGTGAGATCGTGACCTGAGCCGAAGTCAGACGCTCGACCAACTGACTCACCCAGGCTCCCCCATATTGGCCTTATTCTAAGGCTCCATATGTTGGCAAGGTGGCCACAATCGTTCTGGACTCCTAGAAAAGAGAAAGCTCTCTTCATCAAAAAGTTCAGATGCGAGACTTTGGCCTGACTCTCATTGGCTCACATTTGTTCACATCCCGCCTCTGGACCTAGAAATGAATACCAAAAAAAGAGGAACCCTACTGGGTGGCCCAAACCAACTAATGTTCACCCTACAGGTAGATTTAAGATCCTCAACTTGGCTTGCTTTTTTAACATGCCCTGGTCATAACACCTGTAGACAGATGGGCTGCCTTACCTGCATTCGTCCTATATTTTGACATTTTCAATCGCCTCCTATTCACCCTGCTCATGATGGAGGGGCTCCTGCCCAAGAGTTCTGGGGATGGCCAAGCACACGATATTGGACAGATGATCCTGATGGCGGCTCCTCAGTTACCTAGACTCACAGCCCAGAGGAGGAGGGGGGAAAGGATACTGTGTCCCTCGGGAGTTGGGCTTGGGACCACAATGAACAACCACGGGGCTATGGGAGGCAAGCTTGGGGTGGGGGGATCCAGATGGTGGGGTGCCCACCAGCCCCGGTGGGAGGATAGGAATGGCTTATTTGAGGAAGTCCACTGGCTGGCAGGGGGTCGAAGCCCGCTACTCAGAATTAAGCGGCAACCGCGCCCATCCCCTTAACGAAGACAGCTGTCTGGCCAAGGGGACTCACCTGCTGGTGGGCTCTTCGAGACCTTCCCAGTTTTACCAGATGTCAAGGCAATACCCACTGTTGGCTCTTAATAGCACAGGGGCCTGCAAATGTTGCGGGTGGCCTTCTGGGCCATTCTAAGATAGTCTTTCCTGAAGGCGTCAGAAAAATTCCCACCTTCTCTTCCCGCGTGCTTCCGTTCCAGGTGGTCCTCCCCGTCCTGGCCAATGAGAAGAATCACCGAGGCTGGCCCCACGTGGTATGTCAAGATGTCCAGCGGCACGCCCACGGCCTGCAGGGCGACCTCCTGGTTATCCTGGAGCAGGTCAACGGGAAGACTGTGCTGCCTCTTCCGGCAGGCGCAGACGAAGTGGGGTTTGTGGATTCGGACAGCGACAGTGCGTAAGTACCGCCAGCCTGGCCGTAGGGGCCTCCGAGATAGGGGAGATGCCGGTTTATCTGAGTGTTTTCTTTACGACTTCTCTGTTCCCGGCTCCCCACACCTCCTGGTTCTGCACGCAAGCCCACCGTCTGCCGTTTGCCAACATCCGCGGACTGCGTGTTTTCCGCGGATTGCCACCCGTGCCTCTCACTCCCTGTGCCCGAAGTCCCTGAAGGCCATCACAGCAGCATGGCCCTTTTCTCCCCCACTCAGAATTATTTCAGGGCCGGGAGCAGCCACACTGATTTGCAGTATTTTGCTCATCAGGACAGCGTCTCATCCTTGGCAAAGACCCAGGTCCGGTCTGGGCAACAGCCGCGCGCATTTACGCGGCACGTAATGTCACAGAACCAGCCTCTGTGGCTCTTGTTACAGTTCCACACCCTCCTCCCCCTGGCAGCTGGAGACTTTTGTCAGATCTCCGGGATTTTTTTTTTTTTTCCCCCACACGGACACAAATCTGGCTTTGTTTGAAGTCTGCGCCTCTTTGCGTCTGGGTGGGCAGAAAACCCCCAGCCTCTTCCCCTTGGAGGGGGGATGGCTTTCTTTCTGTCCCATGGGGATTGTCTTTCTCCTTTTTCTTTTCAGCCAGCCTGGGTTTCTAAATGATACATTTTGTATCTTCTATCCAGCACTTCTGTGTGTTTCTGGGAACAGGCCACCTTCCGGTGTGAGTGCTGTCTGCCATATTGCCAGCAGTTTGCAAATGTCTTACTGGTCAACAGTTGTACATTCAAGGGCCCGTGATTTGATCTGGACACTAAGTGTCGCGTGCAATGCCAATGTCCTTTATAATGAGTTTTTGCTATTGGGAAGTAATTTGCTACATATATAATCTGAAGCAATTTCCCAGTTAACTAGAAAACCTA